CCAATGCCGCTGCGGTTCCAAATCCACCCAATGGGGGAGCAGGAGGATGCCCCGCCCTGCGCGCTATTCCCACCCACCAGCAGGCGGTGGCCGGGGAGGAGGGAAGGAAGAGCCCGAGCCGCCCCGGGCGGTCGCAGCGCAGAGGCGGCGCGGGGCGGGGGCCAAACCCACTCCTCCCCCGGCTTCGGTCGTTGCTCGTTTCAGCCGAGCAACCACCGCCTCTGATCTTCCCCCCCCGCTCCCCCGGACGTGCTCCAGCAGCCCCTCTCACAGGCGGCCGTGTGCGCACTGCCTGCCAGGAACAGGGGGAACCTCTGGTAATGCCATCGCTGCCGTTTTAGAAGTCATCCTGGATTTAGAACCTCAGAAATGCTGGATTACTTTTCAAAGAAATTATTATTATTACAAAATAAACACGTTCCTTTCGGAAAAACATTTGCAAGCCAGAACTACCAGTATGTGTAGAAACCAGGCAGGAACATGTAACGGGAAATTTCTCCGATTCTGGAGACAAATCACTCAAATATTACTGTAATCAAACTAACGTGGTATCGTTTGCAAGGCTATTCTACAGAGCATTAGAAGTCAGGCTGCGATGCTTTTATTCAGACTAGAGAATATCTCACTGCACCAAAAAGCTGAATTGACTCCATCAAGATTCAGGATGTTTGTTTGGTGGGGCCTGGGCTTGCCTTATGGACAAAGAGGGTCCACATCCCTTGCTCTAATTACCCACAGTTTCTCTTTATTCCTTGACATCTATTTCTCTTTCTTCCATGCATTTACAGCAAGGGCAGACGCTATCCTTGCCTAAACCAATGAAGAAGCCTGGACCCCAAAGAGCCACATCCTTCCACTTCCCCTCTGTTCCACAGACGGCTCTTCCTCCATTTCCTCACAGCATGTGATTTTGCTCTCATTTCCATACATTCCCATTCTGTGTGATTTTTTTTTTTTGTTCCCATCCTCATTCCGTGATGCTTTTGTTACTCTAACTTGTGGCTCTTTGTAATGCAACCCAGATCCTACGACATGGATATCATAAACTTATAGTGAAGTGAGTAGCGTGTGTGCCAGGCTATGCTGCTCACCCTGGACACCGGCATTGCCATATTTCAGGGAAAGACAAAGAAGTGACTCCCACCAGATCATCCACGATAGCCTACCAAAACCACCTAAACTAAACAAATAAATAATAATAAATAAATAATAAAAAAAAACAAACCCAAAACCCAAAGAACAGATTTCACCTAAATTCTGCAAGTCAGAGAGCAAGAGGGAACTCACTGCATCCTTCTTTCCAGAAGGGTACAGTAGTAGGAATTCTGATCTAAATTGTTCAGCATATGCCAGTCGTGGCAGGACTACGAGCAAGGCAAAATAAAAAGAACTTCATAGCACACAACAAAGTACAGTCACAACTTGTTTATGTTTGGGCAACCAAGACAAGCTCTCTTT